CCAAAATCTGATTGCTGATAGTAAAAATAAACTTTGTACAAACATTAAAACTAATTGCCATATCCAATTTGTACATTTATCAACCTCGAAATGCAATTATGTAAGCCGAAAATAGCTAAAATTACAAAAATGCTTCAATGTCTAGATATATGTTGTCTATTTTTTTGCGTCTGAAGACCCTTTCTAATCAAATTTTCGCATAATATCCTTTTGTATAAATGCAAAATTCAAAGCGATATTCACTTTTACAGAATATGTGACCTCACAAGATGACATCATTATCTGCAAAGTTTAGGGTATCTTGGCAAAAGAGAATGAATACAGAGCAAAATCCGTTCTGGCAGACCAGGAGGAAACCCACTTCCCAATTGGCATGGCTTACAAAAAGAAAGTCCAACCGTGCATGTGCCTTTAGTCTAGCAGACTATAGTGGCCAGCTTTGAGCCTATTTGCGCAGCTCTAAATCTTTTCAGTAGTGCGTTTATGAATAGCTTTTTCTTCAGCTTTCCTTTTGTGCCGTTTACCGCAAAATCTGGCCTTACAGCCAATCCATGCTATGTCTGCCGGTCTTGGGTCTACTTTTGGTTCGCCATCGGAGAACATTTTAGGTTATCCTATCGAAATTGCCAAGCAAATCTATCCTCACTTTTCATGCCAGAACACCGAGTTTTCACATAATGAGCATACGCTTTAAAAATGCTTCAGAAGCAGTTGCAGTGGCTCCTTTCACATAACCTTTGCTTGTCTGCATCTATTTGCAAACTGTCACTTTTGCCTGTAAATATGGGCCATATTTGGGGCAAACTCTCCTACTTATTCTGAATAACACTTGTATTGTCGAATCAATTCTGGCAGTGATTTCTGGAAATGAATGTAATCTATACATTCAGCCAGCTGCTGCTTCATGTATGGGTTACTTGGAGTTGGACGGTATAGAAGAGGCTGTATAGAATACGATAAATTAGCGGTAAACAGGTCAAAGATACTTTTACCGGCTGAGCAAAGGGTCGCATCCGACCGGGACAGGGTCAAGTTTAGTCCAGAAATTGGATATCGAGTACGGCCTTGGCTTTCTGTGTTTATTGTATGGCTTCTACTGAGTGTTGGCGACCCCGAAAGTTCTCGTATTGCAGATGCCATGGATACTCATGGCTAGCGGCAAATTATGCGACTGCATCATGTTGGACAGGAGCATGAGCTCTTTTTGAGCGGAAAAAGTACAATCATGCTAAGTTATAAAAGTATAACTGGTCATCTGGCAGTGTTTATGTTAACTTTTATATTCTGGTGCCCAGTTGGATAATTGAGATTTGTACTTGGAGGAAGACGCTTTTTAGGTTCACATGTTGTCTTATGACTGATTTTTAATTGTTAATCTGACAGACCTCTTCAGCCTGGAGTTTCTTATAAAATTTAGGTGTACATCATTGGCTTCAAAGATGCCGCTCACATTAATTCGATATGACGATGTCTTTCTTTGATTGCATGACTGCCAAATGCGATGCCATCTACCAGAGGTTCAGTGTACAGTTTAGATTCAACGTCTTTATAGAATGAATGGCTCGTAGATAGTGGATTTCGAACTAAGCACACATAACTTAAAGCTTAAGATTGATAAACACTATGCATTTCGTGTGCTTATACTTGTCTACTCGCGTTCGTGTTTATTTGTGCCCTCCTGCGCATGCGTTTCTGTTTTGTTTATCCATGCAAACACGCAGAGGTACAAACATAGGCAAGAGAGTTGATTACAACAGCTAAATCCATAACGTAAGTTATCTCATTCTTGAGGCAAATCTCCCGCTAATCTTGCTCAGTGTATCATTTAAACAAATACAGATTTCGCTTTGTTCTTAATTTTCAATTTTATGGGCATCATATTTGATGAGTTGGCAATTCACTCATATGCATAAGCTTGAGAGGTGCAGTAGTAATTCTATAAGCTTCTCAGGACTGGTTGATTTAATATACCCGCACTTACTAAAATTTAGGATGACTCGAAGAGATAAATGATAGATTTTCTTCTACAAACCGTCTGGAGTCCTTTAAGTCTGCAACCACACGACTCTTCAAGATACATACACCTACAGGGACAGAGGTTCCTCGAAAAGTTTTTTGCAGGGTCACAGTTTAATGCAAAACAGTACCTCTATCTCCAAACGCTATCTTAATCTTCCGATTACCTGGAAATTCACCAGTATTGCCCAAGGGGCAATGAGAAGCCCTTTTTTGTTGCTCCCCTTTTAAATAATTATTTGTAAAAAGTATTTCCTTCTATCTGCTGTACCCTCAAAACTTGATAATTCAACAATTCGTTATAATTTACTGTTTTGATTAATTTCTTTTATGAACGCCTGCTTAAGCTTTCTTATCATATTAGCAAACTGAGAAATAATCACCAAGTACCTTTGATGTTAAGTATCTTTCAATGTTTAGCCTTCTAGGGTGGATGTCGAAACCTTAAATTAAGCTTATTTTAGGGGTGAAGATGGCAATTAGAGAGGAGTGAAATGTTCAACATGCTGAAATAGGGGTTCACTCTCGAGTGTAGTGTAGTTTGCATATATTCAGAGTCTTATAATCGGATGCACCAAGAGTTGAACCAAGAATATGCGGCTAACATATCTGCCTCAAAGCCGTAGGCTCTATTTTCGAATACCGCAAAGGAGAATTTCTCAAGTAGAGCAAGATAGAAAACTTTGCCAGCATTGGAGGAGAACATATTGTATAATCCTAGCTCATCATCAATTCTATCCTTCAATCGCCTGCAGTCCGGCAGTGTACCCAAAACCACCAAGGTTCATTAATGAATCACGTTACCATTGCTAATATATTTTTTCAGGGAAGTGATGAAGATAATGACCATCATGAAAATATGGCTATATCGTAGGGAAGACCTTCTTTGACCTACTAACATGCATAATACTTATACAAATAATTAGATATATGTCCTTTGTTATTATGACTTCGGTAAAGATAAATTGTACCTAAAATGTAACACGATTCATCTACAGCAAGAATCTTTTACTTCACGATGAACACTCCCTCTTTACTTAGAGGTCACACTAGGATTATTTGTGCAGGTATCGAGGTCTCATCTTGATCCCTAAATGAGCGTCTTATCTGCCCAACTATAGTCTGATACTAGTGGATACAAATCAGTAAATTAATTATATTATTATCACAGACTTTATACACACAGTTTCATGTATATACTTATATATTTCCGACGATCCTTCTCATATCGGTTAAGCTTTTTTCTTGTATATCACCTTTTTCGCCCTGTTATGAAGCTGAGTTTTCGGAAAATAAGGCGAGGCTGACTGTTCTCTTTGCTCCTGATGGGTGGTTGATAAATGCTTGGACGAAAATTCAATTTAGGATTACAATTTCTCTGCTTGAAATTGTAACTGAATAAAAAATAACTTTCTAGAGGATTCTAACCCATTCTCCTTAAATGTAAAATGGTCAGGCTAATAAGGTCTTGCTTATGTAAATCCTTGTTGGTGGTTGAATTAAAGTAGCTGAACCCTCTAAAGCGCATGACCTTGTAGAGGAGAGTGTCGTAAAGCCCAAATCTGAAGGACTTTATAAAAGTGTTGAGATACCATTTATTTACCTTACATTAATTAAAATACTCTTAAGAGAATTTGAAAATGACAAAAATTTAGTAAATGGGGTCAAAACCTGTTAGCACAAAGCGAAATGTTCATGAGTTATCAAGTGATAAATGATCTCCCTTTCTTCCAAGACTAGACAACGTCTATATCCTAACAAAGATTGTGTTTACAGAATAGAAAAATAGTGAATCTCGTGGAGAATGGATTCCAAGTTTATGCTTCGTTATGATCAGCATTGCTCTGGGAAACAGTCTTATACGACAATGAGATGTTTACTTTATACCTATCGGGAAGATTAAAATAATCACAATCTTCTTCTGACTCCAAGTTAACTCAGCTACCAACATTATTTTGAATCGCTTTTAATTTGCAGGTTTGAGCCCTCCAGCATATTAACTAGTTTTTTCTGAAATCGGTCATCGCCAAGCTCTAAGTATGTTATTCGAACTTCGTGTTTGACTACTTTGCTGGCAAACTAATACCTCCTGTGTGTCTTGGCAATTTTATACATTACATATCAAAGACAGTTTTCATTCCTTTTAGTTATTTTCTATTTGTGCTTTTTACAGCGGATTTCATGCCCATATAGTATTATCAGAAAAACCAGGCCAAAATATTATTCACTACACCATGCAAATCCTTGAATACCATTTTCTCGGTAGCTCAGCAAATATCTCCACAGTATACCAAGTCCAGGTTCTAAATTTTTCATGGCTCTTAGTCATTTCTTAGAAAACATGTGGGTTTTAACTTAAATAATCGCAACACAAAAAGTCACTTTTAAGCAGATTATCAATGATTGCATTACTCTAGTTAATATAGCCATTAGGATGATTCACTCAAGTATCCCATGATGCGGAAACTTTCTATGCATGTTGTAACCTGGGACAGCTAGCCCTTATTGCGACCGAAATGCTGAGCCCTTATGTAAAGGAGATGTGCCCACTTAGACTATAGAATCAAAGTGTAATTATTAAGATCTGGTTACCTATTTTTTAAATAACAAATCAAAATTATAAGCCTTGCTTGGCCATTGAAAAGTAATTTCTTTAAAAACTCCTGTTCAACACTGATTCATACCCTTACTGTAAGTTTTCCAAGTATGAGACAGAAATTCGCTATCTGAGTATTTAAACAAATGTGAAATAGTTCGATTTTTGTCAGGTTATGCAGCACATTTAAACCATTTATTATAAAATAAAAATACTACGAAAACATTTGTGTTTTATTAAAGATAAACTTCCCATTGATGTTCTTGCGAATTTTTGTAACCCTTTGTTATCTTCTCTGATAATTATCTAAGCGTCAAGGTCATAATAATATAGAATCATTAGATTCAGTTTGCCAGGTATAGCAGATTATGGCTCAGCGACTGCTTTAACGTGATTAGCTGCATTGTTTCCCGAGAAAGTGACGAAAAATGAAGCTGTTTCCTTCAATAAATAAATTACATATTCCTTTATCGAATAATTTAAGGTTATGCCAGTAAGGAGCAAAGCAAATTACGCATAACTCATTTCAGTTGACGATTTACCTGGGATAGAAGGTGGATATTAAGCCAAGCAATGGTCATGATTTATGTTCAGTATGCATATTAAATATATAAATTTCGTTTGGACATAAGCTATGTAAATAAGTCATGCTCTTCATTACTCTTAGTTCCGCATATATTAATATATCCATATGAATGCTATTTTATGTTTATGAAGACAGTTTATGTTAAGATCTCCCTTTCTCCACTAATTAAATAGGTTACTTAAATATATGAAATATTTTAACCTTCATATCTGTGTCTATCTACTATGCATTTTGTTTTGAGAAAGCTTAAGTGAAGATATTATTGTAGCTGAGACCACCAAAGTTCATACACAGAATATTTCTGATATGGTTTAAGAAAAGTTTGCCAGACAAGGAAATGCTTCTAAAAGGTCCAAATATTCTTTTCATTTATCTGTCACACATAAAGTTTGCCAATTATATTTGACCTTCTTTCGACCTGATGATGAGATAAACAAATCCATGAAAGCATATGGCTCAATATGATTTGCGTCTGGCGTAACTTTGTAAAGCCTTCCGGACAAGCAAATATTTATCACCAATTCCTATTTTCTTTTTTAGAATTTTATTACTTTATTCAATTTTACTTGTCATAACTCATCAAGTCAACAAAATATTTGTCAAGCTAGGACCTTTGTTGCTCTGGTAATTGGAGTTAATTACTTAAACATGCATAATGAAAACCAACTACTATAAAAAAACCATAAATGATTAGAATGCCTAATATAAAAAGGATTCCACAGCACAACAAAATTTTCGTTTGCAAATAATTAAAAACTTGTATTTTGTTATCGACAGCTAGAATATACATGGAAAGTGCCCCGAACTTCTCATCTCATTAGTTCTACAAGCTTGCTCTTTTAAAACTGTTGGATTTTACGTATTTATGGCCAAAATATACATCGCAGATAAGATAAAACAGTTTATGAATTGCAACTTGAATTGAAGCGGATTTTCTATATCTAACTTAATTGAAGAT